AGAAGACGTAAAATTTATGAAAATTAAATTTTTTCTAATTAATAAATGACAATAAAAATTATGAAATTAAAATTAGCTTTTATGCTTTTTTTTATTAAAAAATTAAGAAAAAATTCTTTCATTTGTTAAAAACTTCAAAAACTATAAGTGCAATTTTTTAAAAATATTTTTTAGTTATAAATTTATATATTAAGCAAAATTAAAAAATCAAAAATGTCGGCTAACTTTATTATTATGAAAAATTTTTAATTTATTTTTATTTATTGAATTGGCAATAAAAAATATTTTTTAAAAATTGCAATGAAAATTAATTTAGGATATATTTAATCATTTTTAAAATTCTATAAAACAAATAAATTATGACAAAAAAAAATTAGAAAAAAAATTGACATGTAGAAATTTAAAAAAATAAAAAATGCTATTTTTTTAAAATGATTTTTTGGCACAAATTTTTTTGTTAAATAAAATTAAAAAATTATACTTGCTAATTTTAATGTCATAAAATTGCACGTATATTTTTTCAAATTTTTTACATATGAAATTTTTTCTTTTAATTATTTTGTAATAATTTTATTGATAAAAAATTCTAAAAATTGTCAACTTTCTGCTAATTTTATTTTCATTAAAAATTTTACAAAATTATGAGTCATTTTTTAGAACAAACTTTTGATTTTATTAAAATAATATTTTAAAAAATAATAACAGAAATTAATTAAATTATAATCTAAATTTTCGCTGTCATCTTTGCAATTGTTATTTCAATTATTACTTCACAATTGCATTTATAAAATTCAGCTTATTTTTGGACATAAAAAATCAAAATTTTGTTATTTTTTTACACGTAAAAAAGTGTAAATTATTTATGTCCTTATATATTATTTTACCAGAAATTATTTTGTAGTTTAAAGACTTCAGAAAAATAATCTAGCTTTAAATCTTAATTTTATTGACATCCGAAAGTGAATTTACTTACGCCTAAGGACTCTCCAAGAAAAACAAATTTTCCAGAAGTTGAAAAAAAATTGTGCCTGCAGAAATTAAAACTAGAATATTTAAAATACGCCTCAAGAATTTTTGAAGATACTAAAACGATAAAAAAAAAAGTTTTTCCAGAACTTTAAAATGAATTATGCCTGCAGAAATAAAATATTGAAAATCTATCTCAAGAAGTTTCGAAGATAAAGCGAGTTCTGAAGCCTTCAAGAAATTTTGAAGAATTTATGATCTTGTCTTCTAAAACTTACCAACATTACAGCTGAGATCCTTGAAGACAATTTTCATCTACGCTACCATCTAAGAAAAATAAAATTTCTTAGAAATTTACGACTTGCTCCGTAGCAGAAAAATATTGAATGCAGTTTGAATTTATTTTTTTAAACAATTTATGTAAAAAATTGAGTATTTAATTCTTTTGCAATAAATAAATAAATACTTGTGTTTAATTTTATGAAAATTAATTCAACAGATATTTGATAATTTTAAGAATTTTTTTTTAATTAATTTTTTGGAACAAATTTATTTATTAAAAAAAATTAAAAAACAGTCAAGTGACTACTAGCTTTAATTTAATTTTAATTTTATATTAAAAATAAATATATTTATGTAAATTATTATTATAATATTTATATTTATTATTATAATTATATTTGTTAGATGAATTTAAATTTAAAACTGTACACTATCAAATTAAATCTGCGTCAACTTTAACTTTATCAAAAACCAGGACACTAACTGCAGAAAAATCTATTGTTTATAGAGGTTTAAATTGGTATTATAAGCTTCCATGTGAAATTATGAATAAAAAAAGAGTTAATATTTTTAAAATTGATTTAAAAAAATATGTGAAAAAGAATATAAGGCTCTTTGATAGCATAAAACGTAATTAATGTATATTTGTATTATCATAATGAAATTGTAAACGACTTGTACATAGCTTAATAGCTAAATAGACTTATATTATTATTATTAAATTTTTAAGTAAAAAAAAATTTTTTATTGGTTGAAAAATTTCAAAAGAACAAAAATAAAACACTAAGGTATTTAAAAAAAAATAATTAAATTTAAAAAAATGCATCCGCTTTCAGGGTTATGGTTGTGGCCATAACAAAAAATATTAACAATATATATATATAAATATAATTCTAACATGATAAAAGTTGAGTAGACTTTATAAAAAAGATCGCGTGCATTAGCAAGTGCATGATTACTATACACGAACGTCGCAAGTTACGTCGCGACGTAACCGTCTTTATTTTCTAATCCACATTACATATAATATTGTGTGTCTACGTGTGTACTTTGGTAGTTGATACCGGGAGGTTCCCACGGTTCCAATGTACCCTCGCGTGTCAATTGTTTTTGCAGTTATTTCAATAAAATATCAACAAATAAAAATAGACATCACTGTTACTGTTATGTTATGAATTTCTGAAGCAAACCGTCTAGTCTCTTCTAGTTTAGGTCCATTGTTGATGGATTTCCACGAATATAAGAGCCAAGATAAATGGTTTTGATGTAAACAGGTAGTCGAGGATAGGAGAGGAGCAGCTGTCCCTAATGCCAACGTCTACCCAGATAAAAAATAATAAAAGGATCTAAAAAAAAAGATCGGGCGATTAGAGCCTGTCCTGCATAATAACAGTTCTGGGAAAAAATAACAAGGAAAAAAAAAGGGAAGAAGAAAAAAGGAAGTCGAGAGGAAGAATGAAGAAAAAAAATTTTTAATGTAATAAAAGTAATTTTAGTTAATGGTTTCTTGTTTGAGACATTGTAAGAGATTCATGATTTTAAAAAGCGAAAGGAGTCACGGTTTCTGATCTCAAATTATCGTGACACCTGAATTAATATTTATAATAATAATAATTATGTATTTTTCTTTATTATTGTTAAATATTATCCAAGTTCTAGGCCACAGTAATTGTTACAAATCTCTCTTTTTATTTAAAAAAAAATCTATCTATTGTGTGTTTAAATTGGTCTACTATTAAGACTGGAGGTGAATTAACAACCAGCCGACTTCCGTTCGATTTACGTGACTCTAATGTAGTCCATTCATGTAAAAAAAATTATATATATAATAGTGCTTGTAAATAAAAGTAATGGGTGTAGTGATCAGAGCTCGGTGGAAATAGTTTTTTTTTATTTGTTGGTGTAATTTTTTATTTGTAAATAAGTTTAGTTTGTTATAGCTAGTGGAACATTTTTAAAAATTGTTTGTTTTTGTATGTAATTTTTTTTTTTAATTTGTTATGAATGGAATTGTTAGAAAAGGAAAGTTTATTTCTTTCTTAATGAATTACATTTTTTAAATAAAATTGATTTTTTGATTTTGAAAAATCTTTTTTTATTATAGCTTTTATCAATTATTAAATTATGTATTTTGTTTCTAAATAATTATTCATTATTAAAAAAAAAGTATTTTGTATTAATAACTAATTTTGAGAAAAATAAAGAGTTTGTTTCTGAACATAATTTTTTGTTTTTAATTGTTATAGTTTGTTTAAACAACTGATTTTTTTTTAATTATTGTATTTATAGATTACTAATTTTTAAAAATTAATTTTTTGTTTCTAAACAATTAATTATTTTTTAAAAAATCATTTATAAAAAATTATGGTAATTATTTATTAGTTAGTAGTGTTTGTTTTAAAAATTTTTTTTTTCTGAATTTTTTTTTATTCTGCTTGTTTTTACGGCGAATTTATAATAAAATAATATGAAAGAAAAAAATAGAAATTTCTATAGCTTTTTTGCCTTTAAGAGTTGGAAAAAATTTTGGCTCTCATTTTTTTGAATAAAATTTTTATTTGATCTTTTTTTGATATATTTTTTTTTTTGAAAAGTACATGAAAAAACGAACAATTTAAAAAGAAAAGTTGAATATCACAATTTTCTAAAAAATTTACAAATTTTTTTGAAAATTTGTTAAAACTGTAATCAACTTTTTTTTTTAATTGTTAATTTTTTTTTGTATTTAAAAAAAGTATATCAATAAAATCAAATAGAAATTTCGTTCAAAAAAGTGAAAATTAAAATAGTTGACTTCACTTGTAAATATTTACCATATTTTATTTTAAAACAGTAATTTTTTTGTAATGTATTAAGTTTGTAAAAATAATGTTTCTTAATTTTCTGCTCATTGCACAACTATTAAAATTTACACTATAAACTGTAATTTTTTTCCTTTTTTGCCTTCAAATATTAGAAAAAATTTTGGCTCCCCTATTTTTGGATAAAATTTCTATTTTATCTTTTTGTGATATTTTTAATATATTTTTTTTTTTAAAATATATGAAAAAAAAGCAAACAATTTAAAAAAAAAAAAAGTTGAATATCACAATTTTCAAAAAAATTTATAAATTTGTTAAAATTGTGTTAATCAACTTTTTTTTTCTTTTAAATTGTTCATTTTTTTATGTACTTTTAAAAAAAAATATCAATAAAATTAAATAGAAATTTCATTTAAAAAAATGAAATTTAAAATTGTTGACCCCAATTGTAAATATTTATTTTTAATTGTAATAGTTTTTCTAAACTACTAATTTTATTTATCAATTACTAATTTAAAAAAATCTATATATATATATATATATATATATATATATATATATATATTTAAATCTATAAAACAGTCCTTTTTATCACGCGATTCCGTTGAGGCAAAACACCGGTTAGGCCGGAAGTTAAAGTTAACTGTATACCGTAGTATTGAAGAGAAAATAAAATAAAAGGACAAACTACTTTTATTTGTACTTAACTTGAGTTGTCTGGGTACATATTATATATATACATGTAATGTACTCATACTTTGTACAAGCATCAACTACTCCCGGTGAGGTATGGGTGTGACGAGACACCTACGGCGGTTTAATTAATTTTTTACGGGACTGTAACTAACAACTCTCTATTGTTTCAGGTTCCAAAGTGAAGATATAGCGGCCAAGGATAAGGATAATAATAAATTATTAAAATAAAAGGAAAGAAGAAATAAGTTTGGAAGGATGTCTGAGAGAAGAGGACCCAAGGCGCTGGAGCTGTGGTGCCGGAGGATCACCGAAGGGTATCCTGGAGTTAATGTTCAAAACATGACGACCTCTTGGCGGGATGGGCTGGCCTTTTGCGCGATGATACATCACTTTCGGCCGGACCTCATGTAAGTTTTTTTTTCGGGCGAGATTTAAGTCTCTGCTTTTAGACCTGAGAAATAACATTTAAATTTAACCGTGGGTTAATTATTAGTTTTATTTTATGCTGACGCTGACGAGGCCCCAATTATTTTTATTTATTTATCGCAATTGTGATGAGTTAACTTGGTGCGTAGGCTTTACCAGTTTATTTTATTAACTCACTTTTGTGTTTTAAACACTCTTTATTTTATTGTTTTAATAATTGTAATTGTAGTTTTATTTTTTTTTTTTTTTTTTTTTATAAAATTATTGTTTTAATTAGGAAGGTTATATTTTTTATAAAAAGTATAAACATTTTTTTTTTCAGCAGACTTATTTTATTTAAATAATTTGTTAGTTTTAATAAGACATTTTTAATTAGTTTTTTTTTTTTATTATTTTTAATTCGTGGATTTTTTTTGTAATTTATTTGTCATGCTAGACATTTATTTAATATAATCCTTGTTGACTTTAATCAACTTATTTTCACTTCTGGAAAATCCTCGCATCGATTTTTACTTTTTAATACTATTGTTTTGTCTTCATTAAGGTTTTTTGAAACTTTTATACCAAATATCGATGGTCTAATTAGCAATTTGTTTAACTCCTTTTTTTTTTTTAACATTTTGATGCAGCAATAATCCAATTATAAATTATTTGAACGATTCAAACCTAAATACTATATCTCTATTAGATTATAATGATATTAAATGGTTTTTTTAAAGTGATAATAAATTTTGAACTAATTGTTTTTTCTGTACAAATAGAAGATTCTCTAAAATGGAAGACAATTTGCTAGAACGTCGATATTTAAAAAAAAAATTACAAAATTGTAAATTTTAAAAAGTATCAAAGATTTTAAAAATTGCCTTTATATCCTGAAAAATTATAATAATTATATATAAAATACAGTTTACTTTAATAATCACGCCCAAAAATATCAATCATTAAAATATCAAGATTATTAGAGTTAAAAAATGTATTACAAAACAATAGACAATTCACATATTTAATACAAACAAAAAAATCAAGTTGAGCAATTCTCAACAAAAAAAAAATCTTAAATCTCAATTATATCAAAACATTAAAATCTATTGAAATAAAACATACATAGAGATAGTGATATAATAACAGATAATAAACAAATAATTCAAACTAGCAGTTAAACTGAAACTATTGAATGATGTAACCATTTTAGGTGTAGCCTGATTTGATTGAAAGATTAAAGACTACGCAGTAAAGTATCGTAATCGGTGGACTGTACGCTTAGCTATATATAAGCTGGAATTGCCTTTAAAGTATTGCTCTGCATAATAAATAAATAAAAATGAATGCAGGTGTAACGCGATACCAATGGAAGATACCGATGCACTGAAAAATCGCAGTTATGTTTGCATATATATAATTGCATATAAAACTTATAACTATAACACAGTATCGGGTATCGATTGTGCCCGAGTATCGGTATCGGATTCCGTAAGCGTAATACGCAATACAATTAAATTAAACATAACATAACAGGAATTGCTTGTAATTTTATAATGATGAATTGTAAGCAGTAGTAGGAATATTAGAGAAAAAAAAGGCCCAAAGTTCAAAAGTTTGTTAGCCTATTGACTATTGTAGAACGGCTGATTTGTTTCTTAACGGTCATGTTTGATCAAGGTTCAAAGATGACCTCTGGTTAAAAATACTCGGTGACTCAGAAGAGAAATACGAAAATACCCATAAAGAGATAAAGTAAAACTCTAAAAATGCTCAGCAAGCCCAAATAAGTTTAAGTTGATAATGTTACGCTAATAAAGTACTTTTGTTTGGTTGTTTGTTCTAAAGAGATTTCTCGAGCTTAAACAAGGACGACATTTATGGAAACAACGAGCTGGCCTTCAGAACTGCTGAGCAGCACTTGGGTATTCCTGCCCTCCTGGATGCCGAGGACATGGCCTCGTGTTCCGTTCCTGATCGGCTTTCGATCCTGACCTATCTTTCACAATTCTATCAGCAATTTGGAGGTAAGTTTCTAGGATATTTTTTGCACGACTCATCATGCGAAATATCAGAGAGTGCTTTATGATCGAAAAATTTGTTTTGCCTCGATTTCGCAAATATTTAATTAATTACACGATTGATAATCTACGTAGTCTAATTAATTTGCGCACCATTCGATAGATAATTTAATGGAGATTAATTCTGTAACTGGTAAAAATCAATTTAAAATAATACAACCAGAAAAAAATATCAAAATAGTTGAAAGAAAATTCGTGTCAATCAACTTAATGTTCCGTTTAAAACACGATAACTTGCGTAAAAATAAATAAAGAAAATAATATTAAAAATGAAAATCGAATTGCAGCTTGATAACCGATAGCACTTTCTAGCTAAATTAAAAAAAAAGTTCAATATAAATACTTATAATTGAAGATAACCAATTTTTTGTCTCAATTAATCAAAAATGAAAAGATACACTGAAAAAAAAGTTTTTTTATACCCGGAATACTGAATATTTTTTAGTCGAGTTTTCTTGTACGCAGTAAAAGTCAAGTTAAATATTTTAGATTTAAGAAAACTGGTATTTTAAATCTAAGAATACCAAGTTTTTTAACAGGACTAAAACTAAATTCTATGTTACCATAGTAACCGTGACGGTGGCGCCACTATTTTGTCATTTCCCTCCAATCTACAGTGTACGCGTGTTTTTTAGTTATTAGTTTACCTCGTGCCTGAGTCTACTTACCTAAATATTTATTTGTTTAAATTAAATAATTTATAAATTATAAATAAAAGTATTAATCATTAATATTACTTCCCCTTACTCCCTTACTTATATGGATTCTTGGATGCAAAAGAAGTTGTCAGAGTGGAATTTATCATCTCCAACAAATTTATAACTCATTTTAGCAATACATTCTTTCCTTATAATCAATTTTTATAATAAGGTAAAAGACCCAGTTATTTTCACTGGCCTAATTGTTTGACACTTGCAATTTTATTCTAATTAAAAAAATAGAATGTTCTCAAAAAACCAATTATCTTAAAATTTATAATTCAAATATAATGTTTATTAAATTATCAGAGTTGATTTATTTTTTTAATTAAAATAAAATTGCAAGTGTCAATAACTATAGGTCTTTTACCTTATAGTAATGTTATTAGAAAATTAGTAAAACAATGCTATTAGCAAGAAATTGAAATTTTTTGACAACAATAAGAATTAAAAATAAGAAAAGAAAGGCTTAATATACTATTTTCCATTTTTATTAATTTTAGTGTGATAGATTGTTTATAAATGAAGAATTATAAAAAGTGTAGTTTCTCATAATTATCTATCCTAAAGATTCGTGTCGACCAAGTGAGGTTAAGTCGGCCATATTGATTTTAGTATTTTAATAATGAGAATACCAAGTTTTTTTATATCCAGTAAACTTACTCCTATGGATAGTAAACTTTGGTATTCTTATTTTAGGAATACTTTTTTTTTAACCACAGGAAAAAATTTTCTAGGAGGAAAAAAACTTTTTTTTCAGGGTACTCTTTTAAAACTCAGCTCCTCAGTTAAAATAAAATTGAAAAAAGATATTCTTTCAGAACATTAACTATTTTTTTTTTATTTATCGAACAAATAAAAATTATGAGTCGTGTACTTTTGGATTTGCCAAACTTTAGATTTATAATTTAGGTTTAGGGGTTTGCAGATCTGGAAAAGTTTGAGTTTGTTGATATTGATTTTTTTAATCTTTGATTTCAAGAAATTTGATTGCGCATTTTTTTTTTAAATTATAGGTGAAGAAATTATTGTTATTGCTGAGCATTGAAAATAAATTTGATACATTATTTGTTTTTATCTTACAGTTCAACAATTACCTCTTTAATTTTGTTCAATTTAAGAAGAGATGTATTAAAAACAATTGATATAAGATTTTTTGTCGAAAAATAGCTTGGTCATAAAAAGTAGTTCGATGGTGTTACTAAAGGCGGCGCTAGGGTCGTTTTCTGAAACTAAAATACTCATTTTTTCTCAGATAACTAACAGGGAAGAAATTTCGGCCATTATTTAGAAATTTTGAGTAGGATTTTTTAAACGTGTAGTTAAAAATCTTCAAGAGATTTTTATCTTGAAAGTTTAATTGATAGATATTGTTGAAAATTGGAAAAAAAAATTGATGGAATTTTTAAAAGTGGATATTTTTTAAATATTGAACAAATGTGACGCTACTACTTTGTTTATATGTTGAAATTTAATTAGAATTGCTTTGATTTTGGTGAATTTGAGAAAAAATGTATTAAAAACGTTCAAAATGAGTTTGGTTATCTAAAAATAGCTTGGTCAAGAAAAGTAGTTCAATATCGTCACTAAAGGCGGCGCTAGTGTCATTTTCTAAGACTAAGAGACTTATTTTTTTAAATTAGATTCTTTTTTAGGTTTTCAGTTAAAAAGTTTTGATAATAAAAGTTTAATTTTAAGAAATTTATAACATTTACATGAAAAAATGAAAAATATTCACTCAAAAATGATTCTGATTTTTTAATTAAAATTCTAATATTAATAAAATACTTGGAAGATATTATAGAAAAAATAAATTTGTCATTAAAAAAATTGAATCTATTAAATCCATTGTTAAAATTCTTTTTTTTTAAATAGAACATAAAAATATTTGTTTTGAATTTAAGAAATTTAACTAACTGATGCCTTTCTTAAGTTTGATAAATTCTATAAAAAATTTTATTAATAAAAAAGTATTTTATATTTTTTAAAATTTACTTGATACCTTTTTTAAAAGTTAAAAGTTGTTTATGTCAAAGATGCAATTAAAAAAATTTTTTCATTAGATAATTATTAAAAAAATGCGCAATCAATTTAAATAAATTAATCTCTATGAAAAAAACATTATACCCAATTAAAAATAAATAAATTTCAATTAATAATTTAAAAAATCAATACTTGCGAAGCTCAAATAATAAATTAAAAGAATGAATAATTCAAGCATGAAGCCAATTAATTAAAAAAATCTAAAATATCAACAAATTTATTAATATTAATTACAATGAAACTTTCCAGATTAATTTCAATTAATTAATTAAATAAACAACAGATTTATTGACTCGAAGAATTAAATAGAAGGAGAATAAAACGACGTACTGCCCGAGGCATGATCTTCAGGCGATAAAAGTGAAAGAGTTCTAGAGGCAGTCGCGCGCGAAAACCAGTCAACTTGAATTAATATGTGTACAATATATGTACATATACATTACATTACATTATATATACATAGGTATATTATTATATAGATATAATATCCTTGTAAAGACGCGCTCATTCGCATTTATTGTCGCAAATGTTGTTCACCACACATGCCTGGTATATTAATGTTAACTGAGAGCAGAGTTGTTGATGCTGTTATTGTTATTGTTACTATAATAATAATTATTATTATTATTTGGTCTAAGTATTTAAAAAAAAAAGTCGGTACTCTGTACACTCGAGCGTCTAATGCAATGTAATGTTAATGCTGAAATAGGTCACACGCATTTAAGTGTCCGTATCTCGGTACAGTGACAGGCTGAGACTTTCTCGTGCGCAAAATATGTTTTATAGTCATACAAGTACAAGTCCTCGTCTTTTTTATAATTTAAACTATTTATACAACTTATGTGTTCTAGTAGTACTAGTTTTAAGTCACTAGATTAATATATTATTCAATTGTAACGAATTGTATGTTCAATTCAGAACGCATTATTGTTACAACCGGATGATTGCTATTATTATTGTTATTATTTTTATAAATAATTCACTTTTTACCTTTTATTATTACTCACCAGACATTTTTTTAAATAATAATGGTAATCGTTTTTATAATTATAATAATAATTACGATAATTTTCAAATGGAATTAGCTTTTATAATTTTGAATGGACAAAAAATTGTCATGCTAATTATTTATTACTATTATTTATATTATTAAGAGAATAAGAAAAATTTTGTGTCCAGGATAGTCATATGATAAAATCATTGCAAAGGTCTTGAGTTGAATTTGTATCTTTTCAAGTTTTTATATCGTTCTCACCGATAATCAATTTATTATCATAAGGATTTAAACTGCATTCGAAAATGATCTATCTCTAGATACATAATTAAGAAATGACCTTATATCTTGAGAAATATTTAAATTTTTAAAGATATAAGCTCATCTTGATGTTACACTCGTCAAGAGCTTTCATTTGAATACCCACATCAATTTTTCATATATTTTTATATATTATATATATGTATATATGAAAAATATATTGAAAATGCAAGTGGGTACTCAAATGAAAGCTCTTGATGAGTGTAACATCGAGATGAGCTTATATCTTTAAGAACGTCAATAGGTAAGAACGTACAGTGCAATTTAATATAATTAAGAAATGAGCTTGTATCTTGTGAAGTATTGCCATTTTTAAAGATATTAGCTCATCCCGATATTATACTCATCGAGACCTTTCATTTGAGTACCCACATCAATTTTTCATATATATATTATATATATGTATAAATGAAAAATATATCAAAAATGCATGTGGGTACTCAAATGAAAGCTCTTGATGAGTGTAACATCAAGATGAGCTTATATCTTTAAAAAAGTCAATAGTTAAGAAAGTACAGTGCAATTTAACAAAAGTCATTATTTAATAAAGCAAAATTTTATTTACTCATAGTTCACAAGTCACGGCAGTCACATAGTGACTGCAAGGTTCCTAGTTATTATTATTATTTATTGTTATTAGTACGAATAAATCGTAAAAAAAATTATTTCACGAAAAATAGACAAGTATTTCCTGAAATATTGACAAAAAAAAGTGTTTTAAGGTAGTTGTGGTTAAGGCATACCATCGGAAAATTTTAAATCTTTGTATACTTATTAAGGATATGATGATACAATTACCCTAAAAATTTGAAGTCGATTGACCACCTATTACCCAAGATGAATTCAATTAAAAATTGGATATTTACCATTGATTGCATACGTTCTCTGCAGTTCTGTACCAGTTTCTTAGTTATAAAAAAAAAAAAACTATCAGAAACTTTCAAAAAACTGACAGTCTTTTAATGTACTTGTGAGTTTAAAAAAAAATAAGAAAAATTTCGACCGTCTAATTATTTATAAATAACGGATTGAAGTTTAACAAATTATGAAAAAGTATATATCTAGGGAGTCGGACAGAAACAATTGTATGGGTTGCATCTCTACGGGTATATTAGTTTTTTAGTCTTGCGTAAAAAGTATGGATTACTTAGCTACAAGCTCATATACTTTTGCGGCACGTATAATCTATAATTATTTGACAATATTGTACCATGATTACCTTAATTTTTTATTCTTTGCTATACAGAAGAAAAAACTGGTTAAATATTATTATTAGTGACTAAAATATGGACCAAAATGATTTTGATTGTCAATTCACTCTAAAAATGTAATTTAATCCTATATATACATATTTAACTTGAATTATAAGGCGTTACTATTAATTTTATATTAAAAAATACAATGAGTTTTTATTTTTAATAATAATAAGAATAAAGGCGCTGGTTTTAAATTATGACTATTAATATTATTATCATGATTATTAATATTAACATAAAAGAAGAAGATAGTAAAAATAATTAACCGGTTGTGAAATAACGGCAAGAGTGTCTTCATTGTTAATAAATGTCATAATCATGTAGTACACACGGTATAAGATGTTCTTACGTAAATGTAAATAATATTTTAATAATTTTCCGGCGGTAAATCCATCGACCTTTTGATTTAAGTGAATCGATAAGACGTACATCACCCGCGACCTTATGGCATTACAGCGATACAACTTTGATAAGATTGTTAATTATTGATTCAACTATTACTTTAACTGCGAATTTTATTGTATTTGTTATTTTTATTTTTATTTTAGGATCGTCGCCGAGCAGACTTGCCAGAAGCAGAACACCCGATAGCTCGGCCCAGAAGATTACACCTGCTGATTCCCCGGCGTCTAAGGTAACTGAGATCACTCTTACGGTCTTTTATCTTTTAATGTGAATGCCTAGCAGGTCTTTTTTCATTCTAGTCATTCAGGTGTTAAGTAATGTCGTACAATTGCGTTTTTTGTAATCCGAGTTGCTAATTGGAATTAGTAAGTTTTGCTTGAGTCGCTTGAAAATAATTTGTAAAAAAAAATATTTTTTATAAATATTATTTAAGCTTCACAAGAATATTAATGGAAATTTATTTATTTTTAATTGGGTAAAATGTTTTTTTCATAGAGATTAATTTATTGAAATTGATTGCGCATTTTTTTAATAATTATCTAATAAAAAATTTTTTTTAATTGCATCGTTGACATAAACAACTTTTAACTTTTAAAAAAGGTATCAAGTAGATTCAAAAAAATATTAAATACTTTTTTATTAATAAAATTTTTTATAGAATATATCAAACTTAAGAAATGCATCAATTAGTTATATTTCTTAAATTAAAAACAAATATTTCAATGTTCCATTTAAAAAAAAGAATTTTAATAATGGATTTAATAGATTCAATTTTTTTAATGACAAATTCATTTTTTCTATAATATCTTCCAAGTATTTTATTAATATTAGAATTGTAATTGAAAAATCAGAATCATTTTTGAGTAAATATTTTTCATATAAATGTTAAGAATTTCTTAAAATTAAACTTTTATTATCAAAACTTCTTAACTTAAAACCAAAAAAAAAATCTAATTCAAGAAAATAAGTCTCTTAGTCCCAGAAAATAACACTAGCGCCGCCTTTAGTGGCGCTATTGAACTACTTTTCTTGACCAAGCTATTTTTAGACAACCAAACTTATTTTGAACGTTTTTAATAGATTTCTTCTCAAATTCACTAAAATCAAAGCAATTCTAATTAAATTTCAACATAAAAACAAAGTAGTAGCGTCACATTTATTCAATATTTAAAAAATATCCACTTTTAAAAATTACATCAAATTTTTTTCCAATTTCCAACAATATTTATCAATTAAACTTTCATAAAAATCTCTTGAACATTTTCAATTACTCAAAATTTCTAAAAAATGACGAAAATTTCTTCACAGTTAATTTTATGAGAGAGAATGAGTATCTCAGTTTCAGAAAACGACCCTAGCGCCACCTTTAGTAACGCCATCGAACTACTTTTTATGACCCAGCTATTTTTCGACAAACAATCTTATTTCAATTGTTTTTAATACATCTTTTATTCAATTGAGCAAAATTAAAGCGGTAATTGTCGACCTGTAAGATAAAAACAAAGTTGTACGACATTACATAACCCACCATGATACGCTTAGACGTAAAGCTTAAAAATCCATCGCTCTCCATTCTGTTCTTCACGGCTTTATTTAGTCTTTTATCTTTTTCTTGCAAATTGCTGAACTGTACATCGAATTACTAGTATAGTTGTTGTAGTAGTTACTAGTACTGTTGTAGTAGAATAAAAATAATAAATAATAAATTTAACCTGAGTGGTAGTCGAATCCAAGCTGACTTCCTCGATTTTCTGCTGTCGATTTTCTCGACTCACGGCATCCCAGTTTAAAATTATCAGCAGTTGCAATGGAACATGAAGGAGGTTGACCAGGTCCAGTACAACTTCTCCTCGAGTACTGAAAACTTGTAGCTCAACCGGCCCAACACGAACAGACCAAGAACCTGATCGACGAGCCAAGTAACATCATAATGAGAAGGAAATGTGATGGAGAGTTCCGGGTACAAAGAAAAAATAAGAAAAGAATAAATTATTTTTAAGACAAAGATGGGGCTAAACTCTTAACAATAAAAGTTTTAGTTTCTCAAAGTTGAGGATAAGTTCTACACGATTTACACGAGTAGTTCCAGTTGAGTTACTGATGATGCTCCTTATCCTTAACCTGCAAGTGGTAGATGCTGAGACTGAGAATAAGACTACTCACGATTTCCTAAGACGAGAAGAGAGTAACGTCATTGCCCTCACTCTCGGTCGTACTTGTACTTAAATATAAAGAGTACACGCCGTCATACTCTGTAATATTACCTTTGCTTTTATTTTGTTATTTTTTATCCTCTTATCTTATTATTCTTATTCTTAAACTACTTATAACTACTACAACTTATACTACTACTTTTTTTTTTCCTCGTATTACTACATGTTACATATTACATACTACTGGATGCTTAGAGATGGAGATCAACTTGTTCCCACTCCTGAGATATCTACTTCCGTAGGTAGTAGGTAATTGTAATTATAATGACAATTCGAGGAGATTATCACCGCGTCTTTTATATTTTACATTTTATGTGTATGTTTACTCTCGAGATTAGTTTAATTTTACCTTGAGGTTTCAGACCGATTATTTAGATGACTTTATGTTATAATCTTGTAAATGCATTTTAATTTTTTTAAATATTCATTAAATGTCATGTAATTATATAAGTTTCAAAAGGTAATTTTTTATTCAATTTGAATTTCCCGCGATTTTATAGTTTGAATTTTTGGCACCACGCCATTTCGCGTCATCGGCCATTTTGACTTATATATTAACTATTAACTTGAATTCAGGTGAATTCAGTTGAATTTTGTTCGAAATTACATTAAATTTAATAAAACAATAAAAATTTCATAAAACTGCTTTGTTAAAATTTGAATTTCCCGCTTTTTTAGTTTGAATTTTTGCCACCGTGCCATTTCGCGTCACCAGCCATTTTGACGTGAATTCTAACCATCAACTAAAAACTGATAAGTTTCTAAAAAAAAAGTCCAGTTATAATGTCAACATTTTAACAAAAATCCTAAAACGAGTGTAAAACACATTTTTCAAGCATAAAAACGTAATTATTCAAAAACCTCAGTCTGAAACCTCGTCAATTTGTTTAGGTCAATTATCCACGACAAACAGCTTGTCATATCTTTTTCCAACTAATCCTAGTTAGCGTACGAGAAAATAAATAAATAACTATTGTAAGTTAACACATACCGTCACGGATTTATTTTTGTTCTTCAGGAGGAAAGCTTGGACTTAATGGGGCAATATAAACCTGAAATATTCTGCTAGAAGGTAATTGCTTATGTCGTTTATTGTTTATGCTTTCACTCAAATTATTATTTATTTTACTGTGCTCAATTCATCCATTTGTATGTTAAGTCGTCTGCTCTTTTTTATTATTATTTTTTATTAACACAGACGATGACAACATACATGCATGCTTTTTTGCTTTTTTCTACAGGTCTATCTCTTTCGTAACTTTTTAACAATTATTAGTTTTTAATTGTTAGTACTGAAAAATTAAGTTGATAACCGAGTAGCTCCTTTAAAGTAGAGTACTTTAGGAAGAAAAAAAATTGTAAAATTCGCCGGTCAAAGTTTTTCCTTCAGCGACGAAGCAAAGTCACTGAACTCATACGCGGGAGGTCAGGGTTCGATTCCCGACCCCAATTTTTTTTTTTTTTTTTTTCTTCATTATTTAAACTGAATAATCTTAAATAAAAATTAAATTTATTCTAAATTTAAAAAGAAGAAACTCTATAAAAAATTCTTCGTAATCCAAACATTTAAATAAATAAAACTATCACGTATTAAATACTCAGTCGGAATGTTTTATTATTATTCACCCAGCTAAACGGAAGTGTACTATATATACATACATAAAAGGACATACAAACCCGATAGCAAATACACACGTTCAGGTCATTGATTCACTCGTCAACACTCGCCTACTTTTTAATGTAACATATATACAACTGAACTAACCGACCTGGTGACCTTTTACCAATTAATACCTCCAAGATAATTAATCTAATCTAACAATTAACCAATTAAATTTAGCAATAACCTAAAACAATGAATAATAAACAATTAACATAAGAAAAATAAGAGAAGAAAAGGCAGTAAAAGGAATCGGAAAGAATGGAGGCGATAGACTATCGCGTGAGTTATTTATAATCAACAACTTATGGACCGTCGACATGTTGATGTACTCTATTCTCTATGTACTACATACATGGTAAAAGAAATAATAAGAAGTAAAAGCGCACGCGCTACGAATACTTAATACTTAAATAACGAATAAACTCAGTATTAATCGGTATTTCTTCCCAGTTAGAGGATTCTTCTACAGAATACCGATTTTTATTTTTTTTTTATGTTTTATTATTAGTTAGTTTATATTATTTTATTGTTTATTGTTTGATAATTGGGATGTCGGTCGACCCAACGGTAATTTATTTTTTTTTTATTATTATTTATTATTGTTATTTTTGTTGATTTATTATTGCGCAAGAGTTTGATCAAAACAATTAGTGGTATTGTTAGATATTTGAATAACTAAGGGCGTTGAACTCGCACTTTTATATCTGTTACCTGTTTAACTAACGCCAGTGTGCATGTTAAGTAGCATTGAGTCATTTTAGTTTTATGATAAATATTTTTTTTTTCTTAAATTTTTTATAGGTAAATAATAATAATAATAATAATTATTATTATTATTTTGATAGTTGTTAAAATTAATTTTGATAATAAAGATAATAATTATAATAATGATAATGTTTTTTGAAATACTTTAAATTAATAATAATAATAATAATAATAATCATCATCATAAATCTGATAATTGTTTAAATTTTATTATTATTATTATTATTTTTTTTTTGATAGTTGCTAAAATTAATTTTGATGATAATTATAATAATTATAATAATAATTTTTTTGTGAAAAACTTTAAATTAATAATAATAATAATAATAATAATAATAATAATAATAATAATAATAATCATAAATCTGATAATTGTTAAAATTTTATTTTTGTTATTATTATTATTATTATTATTATTTTGATAGTTGTTAAAATTAATTTTGATGATAATGATAGTAATTGAAATAATGATAATGTTTTTTGAAAAACTTTAAAATAATAATAATAATAATAATAACAATAATAATAATTATAAAAATTTCATAATTAAAATGCACGGATAAATGCGACCTACAATAAATAATATAGTCATCATTAACTAATATAGCTTCTTTTCATATAAATTTTTTTGGGTTATGGTTCAAAGAAAAGGTCGCCATATTTTATTACAAAGTTAAACACTACCTTACTATTATAATTTTTTTATTAACGTAATTATTGTAATTAGCGGAGAAAAGTCGCTAGAAACTAATAATACACCAGTTATTTCCGTTAGGCCGTTTATGGTATGAACTAGTTATGATTTATAGAACTTTTCTAACCTCAATTTAAGCAAAAATTATTATTATTATTATCACAATCGTGTAAATATCTATTAATTATAATATATATTACATCCTTCCTCTATAAATATATATCCAACCATAATAAAATAAATTTTTTAGTTTAGTTTTTTACGAATTTAGCTTTGCCACTGCCATTTTTATTCGTAAACTAGTTGTGACTTGGAAAGTCCTGACCTCAATTTTACATTTCAACTTTTTTCTTTAATAAATTATTTTGTCTCTATAATTATATCTCTTATTACCGACTATCTTAAAAAACTATCAATTGGCTGAAAATGAAAGTAATTTTCCCGCCTTTCAATTTTTAATTAAAAAAAAAAAAGCAAATTATTAAAAAAAACCGCGAAACTTTTTTTTTATTTTTACGACAAAATGGCGTTTGAATTTCCGCGGCAAATTTGAATTTTATTTAGAATTTTATCTTTATAAGGCTTAATTTCACTGTAAATAATTAAAAAATAACAATTAAAAAACTAAAAATCTTACCTTTCAATCTTTTATTAAAAAAAAATGAAGTAAATTATTAAAAAAAACGCAGAAATGTTCTTTTTATTTTCACGACAAAATGGCGTTTAAACTTCCGCGGGAAATTTGAATTGTACTTAAACTTTTATTATTATAAAGCTTAATTTCACTGTAAATAATTAAAAAGTAACAATTAAAAAGCTAAAAAATTAATTCTATTGCCAATAATAAGCACAAAAATTGTAACAAAATTCACTTTTAAAAATACTAATCCCCAAAAAAGCCTTACAAATAATAACTAACAAAAATGAAATTATTCCAGGCAGTACCACGTCTGGGGATGCGTCGGGAATTCTGCGTAGTCTGCAAACTACCGGTGTTCCTCGCGGAGAAGCTAGTGATATCAAAGTCAACTTACCACCGAACGTGCTTCAGGTGCGCAAGGTGTCACAACCAATTGACACCTTGCAGTTACTACGAGACCGAGGAAGGCCAATACTGCTGCGAGACTTGTCCTGACGAAGATACGCCCGACGTCAGCATATACCCGATCCCAGACCAGCCCCAGGACCTGGAGCAGGACCTGGATCTAGTCCAAGATCACGACCAGGATCTAAACTACCACAGGTCGCTGAGCGACGAGGAGAAACTGACCAAGTCAAAGGATCTGACGTCGTCGCGGATCGCTTCTTTGCGTCTGAACTTCATGTCCAGTAGCTTGCTGGCTGATGACCAAGACCAGGACCAGGACCAGGATCAGGATCAGGATCAGGATCAGTCTTTAGAACCCAAAGATGTCAACGTATCCCCAGACAAAAAGCATCCCCATGGTCTCGAACCAGAGACCAAGGATATAAATTTACATTCCATGACATCTAGAACAAATGATAAAGTTGTAAATAACTCTAACGGTGATAGCGATAGTGTTAAAGTTAACCGCTGCCTTACTGCCACGTCCGAATCACTAGATAAGGATTCTGTAATTAATGTTGATGATTATTTTATTGTTAATGATAAGAATAAGAGTAAGGATGAGGTTAAGAACCAGGATACCAAAGAGATGGTTGGCGAAACTGGTACCGAAGTTACTCAGTGTCTTTCAATTGTTCAGAAAAGGCTGAAATTATTTCAAGATTTAGTTGATAGTAGCAATGTTAGTATTAATGATGATGATGATGTAGATGAAAGCAAAGAAGAAGAAGAAGAAGGTGTGTCAGGTGCATCACGAATAGAGCCAGACTCACTGGATGGTTTTACACTCACCGAGGATAAGTCGGTGTCGCAAGAGGTTGCTAAACCCGCAAATGCCAAGGCTGATTTATCAACAGAGGATCAACAGTACCCGGACGATATGAATCCGTTTAGGAGTGACGATGAGGCTGATGGTAATCCTGAAAGGTCGACCAATCCTTTCGGTAGTGATAGTGATGATGATGTTGAGGAGGAGCCGCCGAAGCCCAAAGCGAGAAGTCCCAAAAGGCTACTCAAGGCTCCGGTTAATCCGTTCTTGAGCGATGAGGAAGAGGAGTATAAGTTGGACGCGCCGGTTCCTAAGCCTAGGAGCAGTTCTAATTCGAATAGGTTGAGCAAGGATGGGTTTTACGCTTCCAGTAGTTCGCTGGGTAGTTCTACTGGGTACAGGAAGCGCAGGCCTGCTCCACCACCACCGGGGGCTACGCCAGAGAAAAATGTAAGTTTTTTTGGGTTAGGGGTAGTTAAGGATTTTTTTTAGTTTATTTTTAATTATTGAAATTCAAAAATTTCGATGGTGTTAGTTAGAAAATATTTTTCTTTTGGCAAAGTTTTATTTATTTATTATTTCATTTCAATGCCAAGGCAGTGTATCAAAATGGCAAAAGTATACAAAAAAATTGTAATTAAGTACACGTATAAATCATGAAGATATAAAATTTCAAAATTTTGGATATTAGGAAAAAAACGTTCTTCTTAAATTTGGAATGTAGTTAAGATAAATACAAAAAAAGTATAAATTTGAATATAATAATTAAAAATTAGAGAAAAAATTTATGGCGCAAAATACAAAAAAATAATTATTTTTTATAAATTTTTTTTATTATTTCTTCTTTAATTATCAAAAATTTATTAAAATTAAACTTTTTTTAATTCTAAATAATCAATGGAAGTCATAATAATGAGGCGCTTAGTTTCAGAAAATAACACTAACGCCGCCTTTAGTGACGCTACAAAACCTATTTTTAAAACCAAGCTACCCCTTACTAAACAAAATGATTAAAAATGATTTTACAATGTTAAATGCCCATAAGAGATATGATTAAAAATCTTTTTATTTAATCAGGGACTTTTTTACTATAATATTTTATTTTAAATGTTTCTAAAATATTTTTCTTCAAATTGAAGCAATATCAATAAAGTTTTTTATAAAACTAGATAAAAATCTTTTATAAAACTAAAATCAACGAACATTTAAAAATTTTAGAAATTTTCAAAATTAAAAAAAAAAATTCCACATGTAGAAATTTTAAAAAATTACAAATGCGAATTGAAAAAATCGTTTTGTTTTATAAAAATTTCAAAATTTTCAGAAGTCTAATTTAATTATATTTTCAAAATATTTTTAATAAATCACCAAAATTTACTATTAAATTTTTTAAAAAATGACGCAATCATTATTTTTTATTTTATTTTATATTAAAAAACAAACCCAACAGCTTGCGCGCGCCATTAACAGGGTTAATAGAATTATACATAATGTAAATATAAGCTTATATATTTACAAAGCTTAACAAGATATTCTATAACTAATATAATATTTATGTGTAAACTATTGAGTTAAGTAAGTAGTTTGGCGGTATATATTAGAGATCCTAGATAATTTAACACTATAGAAAAAGTTTGCACAAATTTACCACCATTTATTATAAAATAACAACTTTATATTTCTTCTTTAAATATACAAAATTTTTAAAAATCTAATTAACCAAAATTAAATTATCCATCTGAAAATTTTTTTAATTTTTTTATTGAAAAAAAATTAAAATAAAAAATTTTACATGTAGAAGATTTGAAAAATTAAACATGCAATTTTTTTAATATTATTTTATTTGTAATTTAATTTTTAAAAAAATTGTTGAACATCATCTAATTTTAGTATCATCCGAAATGAGTCTCTTAAATAAAACTAAAGTTAGCCGACATTTTATAATTTTTTTCTATTTAATAATTTACAATTTTTTTAGAAGTGAATTTTTTTTTTAAATTTTTTTCTATAAAAATTTTCAATGGAAATAATTGTAAAAATTTTTAAATATCAGTTAACTTAATTTTCATGTCTCTTAATCTAGAAATTAGCACTAGCGCGCCCTTTAGTGACGCCATCGAACTACTTTTTATAACCCAGCCATTTTTTAATAAAAAATTTTCCTAACAAAAAAAATCTTCAAAGAATCTAGCCATAATAAATTCTTAACTTTCTAAACAACTACAAACTATCAATTAACAAATAACTAATTATTATTTTAATTACTAGGACTCAGGAATCCGGACTCCAAGGCCGCGCAAAAGCAAGCCAGCACCGCCTCCTCCGATGGCAACGAGCTCTCCGCTTGCATCAGGCCTGGAGAAGTTGTCATTGACCAGCGAGTCTTCGATAGCCTCCACAAACAGTAAAGCGAAGATAGATATGAATATCAACGCTGAAGAATCCCTAAGCAAACTCGACATCAATGTCACCGAGAATGCCGAGAGAGGAATTGACTCGTGGGAGGACATAAAGGTGTGCAAAAACGAGGCCAACCGAACAAAGCAGTCACTGTCTAGGTCGGAGAGTGGGCAAGATTACACCAGGTTCGACAAGAGCTCCCACGGAAAGTGGAAGCGCAAGAAGGCCCAAGCGCCTGCCAGGCCGATTCCTCAGAGACGGAAAATCCGCGTGATGTCGATGAAGGACGTTAAGATGGAGCTTGCGGAGATCGAGATGCAGCAGCTGGGTCTGGAGAAGCAGGGTGTCAGGCTAGAGCAGCTGATTCGCAATAAATGCGAGAATGAGGCTAGTTCAGAGAAAAAAGACTCGGGAGATAATATGAAAGACAACAATGACACCAGCTTGAGTATGGACGCTGATGAACTGGTGCTGGAGCTATTTGCTCTGGTTAATGAGAAAAACGAGCTCTTCAGGCGGCAAGCTGAACTGATGCTGCTGAAGAGGCAGCACCGCTTGGAGGAAGAGCACGCGGATATTGAATATCAAATACGGTGCTTGATGTGCCAGCCCGAGGCCACTAAAACTGACTTTGACAAGCAGCGGGAGGAAGCTCTTATTCAAAGGCTTGTTGAGATTGTTGAGAAGCGCAGCGAAATTGTTGAATGCCTGGAAATGGATCGCAAGAGAGAAGTTGAGGAGGATAAAAGTATTAATATGCATATGGAATTGTATACTGGTAATTTTTTTTTGGTTTAATCTATATTATTAAGAGAATAAGATAAATTTTGTGGCCAGTGTATTTATATGATAAAAGGGGTTTTTAGGCTGCATTTAAAAATTATCTCTAGATACATAATTAAGGAATTACCTTGTATCTCGTGAACTATTGACATTTTTAAAGTTATAAGCTCATCTTGATGTTACACTCATTGAGACCTTTCATTTGAGTACCCACATCAATTTTTCATATATTTTATATATTTATATATTTCATAAATATCATATATATAAAATATATAGAAAATACCATGTGGGTACTCAAATAAAAGGTCTCAATGAGTGTAACATCGAAATGAGTTTATGTCTTAAAAAATGTCAACATTTAAGAAATGACCTTGTATCTTGTGAAATATTGACATTTTTAAAGATATAAGCTCATCCCGATGTTACACTCATCGAGACCTTTTGTTTGAGTACCCACATCAATTTTTCATATATTTTATATATTTATATATTTCATAAATACCATATATATAAAATATGTAGAAAATGTCATGTGGGTACTCAAATAAAAGGTCTCAATGAGTGTAACATCGAAATGAGTTTATATCTTGAAAAATGTTAATATTTAAGAAATGACCTTGTATCTTGAGAACTATTGACATTTTTAAAGATATAAGCTCACTCCGATGTTACACTCATCGAGATCTTTCATTTGAGTACCCACATCAATTTTTCATATATATATGAAAATATATACATATATATATATATGTATGAAAAATATATGAAAATGCATGTGGGTACTCAAATGAAAGCTCTTGATGAGTGTAACATCGGGATGAGCTTATATCTTTAAAAATATCAATAGTTAAGAAAGTACAATGCAATTTAATAAAAATCATTATTCAATAAAGCAAAATTTTATTTATTTATAGTTTGCAAAACCCGGCAGTCACGCAGTGACTGCAAGGTTGCTAGTAAGAATCTTAATTTTTAAATTACGGCTTTCTTATTGGTCCTACAAAAAATTATAAGAAAGATTTTTTTTTTTTTTAATTAATTTTTGAACAACTTTTATTCGAAAAATTTTTTTATACGACCAATATTTTAGCCGTTATATCGAAAATTTGATTTTATTAATTAGGAAATGTTATTTTAAAATTAAAACAAAAATCCTAGCCACAATTATAAATCTGCAATTAGCAGACACTTGACCATTTTTTGATTTTTTTCTGACAAATAAGCTACTTAAAAAAAAAATTATTTTTGAAAAAAGCATTTATAATTTTCTAGATCTTCTAAAGATGGATTTTTTTTTAATAAACTTTTCTTGTTGTAATTTATTAAAAAAATTCGAAAAATTATCAAGTGTCACTCAATTTCAGTGTTAAAAAAAAAAACTATTGAAATAATACAAAGTAATTAACTAATAAAAATAAATTTTTTTTTCAGCTAAAAAAGGAAGCAACGAAGAGCAAAAAACGCACAAAGGAAAGAAATTAAAATTAAAGGAAAAATTCCACATAAAAGAAAAACACTTACTAAAAAAAGGTCACAAAAAAGACGCTGATAAAGATGTCGACGAGACTGAAGTTAAAGTTAAACGCCAAAATAAACGCAAATGGTTTTAAATAATTTCCTCCTACTCAACTACACTAGTTTAAATATCGATTTATATTTCTTATAAATGCACTTGTTTTTTATATTATTATTATTACTATTATTATTATTATTATTATTATGTAAATTGTCAGTTCACAAAATAAATATTTAAAAATACCTTTGTATTCTAATGATCTTAACCGGAACATTTGCTGCCTCGAAAATTTTGTATTCCGGCAGAGGCAGTTCTTTGTAGCTCAATTTATGTTTCTCTGCAATGTAATAATAATTACTTACAATTTTTATTATTAATTATGAATCATATAGTGTGACCAATGCCAAAAGGGCGTATAAAAATTATTTTTGCCAACTACTTTTGCAAATATTCTAAGCTTTAAACTGATAAAATAAACAATTAAGGTGATCATCAAATCAACAACTAATTATTTACTGATTTTAAAAATAGATGCCTTAAAATTATTTGAGGTAATAAAAAAAATTGTAGATTATTATAAAATTATTGATCTCCTGTTTAAAAATATTCATTGAAAAAAAATCACTATCATGAGATTTGAATTTTTTTCAATAATTTAAATTGATTTCAATTTCTCAGCATATATCTATAGTTATATAATTTGCATACACTGAAAAAAAATTTTTTTTATCTAGAATATTTTACTCGAGTTTTCTTGATTTAAAAAAACTGGTTTTCTTAATCTTAAAATACCACGTTTTATTATAAGGCTAATTTTTTGACAGTCAGAAAACTTTATTCTTATAGTTAAAAAACTTTTGTGTTCTAATCATAAGAATACCAATTTTTTATCCACAAGGAAAAATTTCCTAGGTAGAAAAAAACTTTTTTCAGTGTAGAGTAAATTTTTTTAATTCTTGGAGAACACTGAGGGTCATTTTGACCCTAGAATTTTTTTTATTCTAAAATATTTCTCAAAGATAAGTTCATTTTTAATTAATTTTTTCAACATTAGAAACTATTTAATTCAGAATAGTAATTATTGTAATTATTCTGAGATATAATTCTTCGAAAATCAAGTGAGGTCAATTTGACTCAATGTGTACTCGAAAGTTCTGTTTGGAGGTGTGTAATTTCTTAGCGAGAATTAAATTTTTTTAATGAATATTTTAAACAGAGAAGGATACTTAAAAATTTTTCTCAAGACCCCAATAAATTTCATTAAGAGTTAGTACTCATTTGACTCTAGCGTATTGCATCAACGTCCTTAAATAGAAAAAAAAAAATTTATACACCCTATTGGCATTATAATATTTGCCGCGCAATATTATAAATTTAAAAAAATATCATCAATAAATTACCTAACTCTCGTAAAAAACCTTCAAGAGTGTCTTGATTTCTAACAGTAACGCCGATAATTGCAGAATTTATCGAGTTTTTCAACAATACATAAATAGCGTTAATTAAAGAACTGAAGACACTGGAGTCATAGACGACATCAGCGGCGAGAATAATGTCTGGTGACGTCCAATTAGCTTCTTTGTGCTCGCTAATTGATTCCCACGCGAGCTCTTCTACTTGGACTATAGTTTCATCAGCTTTCTTCAGCTCATTTAACTCAATGTTTTCTTCCAGCAAATCTAGGACACGCGGATGACAGTCTGTGAATGTGTAACTTTTCGGTTTGCAGGTCTTCAATACAGTTATTCCGGTTAGTCCTACGCCGGAGCCTAATTCTACAATTGATTTTCCAGCTAAAAATATTTTATTTTCCATACACCATTCTGCCAAGACTTCTGCAGCCTAGAATAAAAAAAAATTATTAAATATTCCAAAATAGTAATGAAGAAATTCAATTTACAGTAAAAATTCGTTAAAACTTTTAATAACAACAAGATGGCGGAGAAAATCAAAATGTCGGATCGAAGAATTTGATTGGCTGTAACTAAATTAGCCACTAGCGCTTTTAATTCAAATTTACCTGCCAACTACAGAGCCCAGTAGTTCCGTCAGAAACAATCGTCCTGCTTTCTTTGATAATTACTCTTTTGTCAGGATCAATCAAAAAATGGCGATAGTTCATCCGAGAGTCTTCAAGTGACAAATGCTGACAAAAAAGCTCGTACAGAGAATCATCAATTTCTTCATTATCACTCTCCAGGCGCTTAATTAACAATCGTAAGAAATTTTTCAAGTAAGTATTTTTTACCGGGTACTTTTTTAACAAGCTGTCATTCATTATTTGCTCCAAAATTGAAGATTGTATTTCTGGGCTGAGTTTTTTGGGTAATTCTAAATTCGCCAAAGGAACGCAAGCAAGAAATTGCTTTTTTAGTCGTGCAATATCAAAATTATCCATGATAAAATCTGTAAAAAATTTAATTAGTTTAGTGAAAATTTTTACATCTTAAGCGGTAAAAATTTTTTTTTGTGGCACTTGGGATACTAATGACACTGAAGTTAGCAGACGTCTAAAAATTTTTGATTTTTTTTTTTTTAATTAAATTACAACTAAAAAGATTTTTTAAAAAATTGCACTTATAGTTTTTCAAGTTTTTAACAAGTGATATTTTTTTTTTAATTGTTTAATTGAAATTTTTTGGATAAAAAAATTTCTAAAAATTTTAAAATGTCAGCTAACTTCATTTTTATGGATACTAAACTTTATCTTACCTTAAAAAAAATTTATTTTTAAATAATTAATTACTCTAAAATTGGCAGAAAAAAATTTGTATAAAAAAATAAAAATACTTAAATCTAGGTTATGTTAATGTAAACATTCAACAAGTGTTTCTCTTCGCGCATGCGCATCAATCAAGGAATGTGCCTCTAGTCTGTCACGCATGCTCGTAGCAAAAATGTACAAAAATTTTAAACCTTACAATTATTAAAAATTTTTAATGTCTAAATTTTTCTGTGATTTATTTTTATTTAAATAAATTTATAGATTTTTCAGAATTTTTTCAACTATTAAGTCTTCAAATCAGAAACATCAAATTTACCAACCTGTGAAATTTCAATGACATTAAAGTTAGCCGTCACTTAATTACTTTTTAATTTTTTTTAATTTCTACATGTCAATTTTTTTTGCCATAATTTATTTGTTACAAAAATTATTAAATATCTGATGATACTAAAGTTAGCCGACGTTTTCAATTTTTTGATTTTTTTTTTTAATAATTAAATTAGAACAAAAAAATATTTTTAAAAAATTGCACTTACAGTTTTTAAAGTTTTTAAAAAATCACAATTTTTTTTTCTTTTTTTTTGTAGTCATTTTTTCAATAAAAAAATTCTTTTTAATTTTTAAATGTCGGCTTACTTAATTTTCATAATATCTGCTAAATTAATTTTCTTTAAATTTTATCATTTTTTTGCTTAGCGTATCAGTAGAACTTTAGAAAAATGATAATCAATCATATAACGTGTTTAATTTAAAGGCGTAATTGAACTGTGGAGGTTATGTTCACATGACTATTTGACTTAATAATGCTGAATTTCTTCTATTTTATTTAATATATTTGATTTTTTTTAAGCCTTTTAAACTGTTTTTGCTTTAAATATTTCTTCCCGTTTGATGCATAAATTCAACAACAGAGCGCGTCAGTTTCAGCAAAAGTGCTGCCTCTACATTCATCCAATCAAAATAAAAAATTGTACTATAAAAAAAATCACATTTAATACATCAAATAAAAAATTACAAAATATATTTATTCCTAATCCAAAAATTACGTCACAGAACTATTCTTAGCAGCAGTTAAATTATAAATCATAGTCCTGAGATGAACAAGTTCCTTAATCTCAGTATTAAGCTTCTTAATTTCATCTTCCTTCTCCGTAATAGTTCTACTGAGTTTTTTAGCCTGCTCACTAGACTCTTTAAGCTCTCTCTTATGATTCGCGAGAGTGACCTGCAAGGTCTCCAATTCCTTATTAGCCTTCTCAAGCTCTTGTTCCCTTTTACCCAACCTATCCTCAACCTCAGCCTTAGCCTCTCCAACCTCAATAATTTTCTTTTTCATTCCCTGAACCTTTTCCTCCAATTTGTGTTTTTCCCCAACCAACCTATCCCTCTCAGTTTCCAACGTAGCATAGCTAGCCTTCACCTTATCAAAGCTCAGCATCTTTTCTTCAAGCTGAGCCTTTTCCTTCCTAAGGCTGCTCACCAGTTTCTTACTAGTCTCCTCAGTCTGACTGACCTTCTGGCTCATTTCCGCCGCATCGGTCCTCCACATAGCTTCATTCTGCTGAGAGTAATACAGCAGCTGCCTTAGTTTCTTATCATTTTCCTTCGCCTGCTCTATCAACCCTTCCAAAATGGCGACCCTCCTCCTGGCGCTTTCAATACTCGCCATATTAATCCTATCCACCTGCTGCTGAACCAGCTTCTGGTGCTCATACAGCTCAATAACATCCTTCATAAAAATGTCGCTAATTCTATCTTCCTTAACCAAGTCCCCCAACTTCTCCAAAATCTGTTCCAACTCTTGCTGCCTTGCCAGTGAGAAGGACTCAGTGCCGCTCTCTACCAGCAGCCTCTCAAGCTTCAAGTCTGCATCTCTGCTCGCGGAATTAATTTGAGCCATCGGATTAAGCTCGCACATGCACTTAACAACTCCGGAAACAAACTCCTTGCTGCAGTTTGTCGAAGAGAAGACTTCCAGCGCCGTCTGCTTGACTTCAGCATCACCCGTAAAAATTCCAAGCGCTACAATCATTCTCACCGCGTGCTTCTCAGCGACATCTATGAACAAAGCCAGCCAATTCAAACTTTGTTTCGCTAACTTCGCAGTAAGCGCAAGCGCATGGACATACACTGCCATCTGTTGCGGTTCCTGGGAAGTAATTGTACTGTTCAGCGGTTCCAGCAATTCACGCATTTTTTTTTCACAAAGAATTTCGCAGACTTGCTTGTGGAAACAAGGAAGCCCAATTATTTCCAGAAACAGCTTCATAAGCTCTGTTAGCTTTGTCGTATTTTCTGAATTTTCGAGATTTGGGGTCAGAATATCGAAATTTATCATCTCTATTAATTCCTTCTTGTTGATTATAGAATCAGATATTATTGCGCGGACAAGTCCCAAGGCTTCTATTGCAGTTTGTTCGTCGGTGATCCAGGTGTTGGCGAATTTTAACAGTTCTGGGTACTGAGAAATTAGCTTGGTGATTCTTAACTTAACAAGAGAGTGGAAGAATTTAATGATTAGCACAGTTGATTCAGGAGCTAGAGAGTTCAAAAGCTTGGTGATGCTTTCCACATCCCGAGTGTAGTTTGGGTAAGCCAGCAATCCAGGTCTGAAGTGTTCGTTTGCTTGCATCTCTTCGAAGAGTTCTACTAGCAGCTTTATGGTGTCGTTGTCTTTATCAGCAACAGCTGATGGAAGATTCTGCATCAGAGTTGTCACAAACCCCAGGATCACGCGTTCTGGTATCTTCTTGTTGATCTGCTCCATGACAACTAGAAGCTTGCAGCACTGGACCCGGATTCTGATGTTGGCGCTCTCCATGGTGATGAGTCTCCGGTAGAGAGCTTTGATGTCTGTTTTTTTCATCAGGATGTAGACTGCTGGAAGGTTCCGACAAACGTTGATTAAAACTGCCAAGGATAGGGCTGCTATCTCGTGCTCCTGGATGCACAGAATCACCCAGTTTGATAAAGTGGTGATCAGGTTGATCAAGTAAGGCTCAGAATACTGGATGTTGATTCCGTGAGTCAGCTCTTGCAGGAGTCTCAGTACTAGAATTCGCTTTTCGGGTACCAAGTCAGGGTTTACCGCCTTGGAGACGATCGAGGCGAAGTTGTAGGTGTGGGTCAGTGTCTGGCGAGCTAGGGTGTTTTTGCAGATGAACTGGAGCACGTCCATTGCGATCCATGTCAGAGGGGATGATACGTCACAGGAATTCATCAGCTCGGTTAAGCGGGAGTAGAAGTCTGCTATCACTGGTGTCGTTTTGTCGAAGATACCCAGGTCTGTTGATAATGTGATTGCCTGAAATTTTGGTTTGGTTAGTGTTTTGTAGAAAAAATTTTTTTATTTTTTTTAGAGTTATAGAAAAAAATTGGTACTGAAAAATGAAGTGATAAATTTGATGATATTCAAATTAGCAGATAAGAAAAGACCCTATTACTGACACTTTCTTTGATTTTGGGACTTATTCAATTAATGAAATCATTAATTTCTATTATGAATATATTATTTCTAATCTTTGACATTTAGATCAAAAAAATTTTTAATTTTTATTCCAAGTAGAATATTTTTTCATTGAAAAAAAAAAAAGTGCTTCTAATAGGGCTTAAAGGTGATACTAATGGGGTCTTTTACCTTAGTTGATAAAAAAAAAAAAGAATAGAATATGTATTTTAGAAATGATGTTAAAGTTTGCTGTCACTTAACCATTTTTTAATTTTGTTTAACAAGAAAATTTGGTCCGAAAAATTATTTTTTAAAAATTGCATTTTTAATTTACTAAATTTTCTAAATGTAAATTTTTTTCTTATTTTTTTTTATGCAGTATTTTATTTATTAGAAAAATTTTTTAATTATTAAATATCTGCTAAATTAATTTTTAAATTTTAGAAAATTATTTTTAAAAAGTTTCATTTTTAGTTTTTTAGAATTTTTATTTGTAAAATAAATTACTTTTCTTTTAATAATTAATTATTGAAAAATGATCAAATTTTTTTTTAATTTAAAAAATTTGAAAAGTTTTTAATTTTTTAATAAAGATTTTTTGTTAATTTTTTTTTAACATGAAATTGTCAAAAAAAAAAAAATTTTTTTTAAATCATTGATGAAAAATGAAATGTTAAATTTTATGACACAAAGATCAGTGTTGATTTTTTTTTTATTTTATTTAACAAGAAAATAAAACTAATTTTAAAAAATTATTTATAATAAATTGCATCTTAATTTTTTACAATTTTTACTTGTAGAATTTTCTTGACAAAAAATTCAAAAGACATTTTATAATATTTAGAATTTTTTTATTAAATTAATTATAACAAATAAACTTAAAAAAAAATTCCAGATTTAGAAATTTTTTAATAAACTATAAATGTAATTTTTTCAAAATAAATTTCTGTAGCTAATTTATTTATTAAATAAAATTAAAAAATTTCCTAGTGTCTTATTTTATTTGTGATAATTTACTTGCTAAAAATTATCAAACATCTATTAGTTCCACAATTATTAAATTTTTAATTTAAAAAAAAAAAATTTAAATAATAGGGTAAATGCACCAATTATTGATCGATTAAGGTTTTCTTATTCTGTATTAAGCTATAAAAAATCTATTAACCTACTAAAACCAATTTATAATGGATTTTATTAAAGTTAAATACTTAATTAATAATAATTAATAACTATTTATAATAAAAATTAACAAAATTATATTAATTTTGTTATTTGAA